GACAAATGCAATCCAGGTAACAAACGCCATATGAAGTAGTTGAAAAAATAAATAAATAAAAGGTTTGGCAAATTAGGTTCGCTCCATAAACATTAAAAAAAGAAAACAAAAGAACACAGGAAAAATTTTTTTTGCATAAATTACAGTTACATAGCACTAGGCGTAATATCAGTGATAGTATGACTTGGCAGATTACGGCTTAGTATTTTCGAAGACCTGCTTATTCCTGGAGCTTTGCTTAGGTCAGTATTACTCTGTCGGAGAACATCACAACAGACGCCTTGAACTATCTGCTCAGCCGTGCAGTTGGCGTAGCATCAATTGAGCTGAACGCTTTAACCAGGTGATAACAAAAGTGTGCTGCACAACCATTCACTGTCACCTGTGCCGCATTACTTTCAAGAGTACAGCGTACAGGCAAAGAAACCATGATGCAGTGACTCGTCAAGTGCAGACCTATGATAGCGGTGTAAGCACACTGCACGCTTTTATTATGATCCATTAGAAAACGCTCTTCATGTGGTTTTGCTGCCACCTTCTTCTGAGAAATCGCTGGAACACCATGGAGACGCATCAGGCGCAGAAATCTAATTGAGGCAACAAGCTACTCGCTTCACCTCTGCACAGTATGGAGAGCACTAGTTCTAACACTCCCATGGCAAATGTGTGCATAGGTGACCACACGATAACATTTGCGTCCAGAGCAATATGCTATTCACAACAAAGAAACTGAACGCAACGCATGTCACTCGTTTTTGTTGGCCGACAATAGCGCCAGGACACACATCCCAAAGCACAGAGCCTGGCAGCATATTCTTGGAGGGTCCCGCATATTTGCAACAGCCCGGAGGAAATTATGGTTGCAACACAGGAGGCTTCATTAGAAGGGGCCATAAAAACATGGTTGGCGGTGTTTCTTAGTGTCCCTGGTGCTGCTTGGAAAATCATGTGGTTAACTTAGTCTTTTTCCTCAACAAAGATGATGTGGGCATTGAAATTCTTTATTTCAAGGCTGTTTCAAAATATTTAGTGAATTTCTTGCAACTTTTATGCTTTTGGAGCAGCTTGGCACAGGAACACGAACTCTTGTAAAAAATGGGCAATATTTGCAGATGTTTTTCCACTGATTTATATTTAATGACAAAAACCACAACAGTCTGCTGACGCACTCACATCGGCTTGCACATTTTGTGAATCATCACTCTGAAATTGAGACTTTGATGAAAACCCGTCTGGTCAGAATGAAAAATGATGAAGGAAAGAAAGTACACCGACCAAATGAAAGCTTAAAAGAAACAACATTGTGAACAAAGACCTTAAGTGGAATGTTATAAAGTTTTATTTGGTTGATATGCTTAATTTTAAATGTGGAGCATTGCTTAGTTGCACGATATCATGAATACGGCGTCGACGGTGCCGTCTAGATCGCCATTGCCCATCCTCGACGGTGCCGTCTAGATCGCCATTGCAGCGACTCGTCGATAAAGCAGCCTTGACCCGCATATAGTGAGACCTTGCCGGCGTTATTTTGTGTAGTGGAGAACTGCTTTAACTGACTCTATAACAGTAATCTGACTCGGATCATTGTAGTCTTTTCGCATTGCTTCATTATTGCTAACTCCTACGTCATCTCCTGCATCACAAACATCTTTTCACCCTCGTGCAATTGTCTTAATCAATTGCACGAGGGTGAAAAGATGTTTATGATACAAGAGATTGTCTTTGATCCCACGACCCGCAGGTCGTGGGATCGAATCCTGGCTGCAGCGGCTGCATTTCCTACGGAGGCGGGAATGCTCTAGGCCTGTGTGCTCAGATTTGGGTGCACGTTAAAGAACCACAGTAGGTGAAAATTTCCGGAGCCCTCCATTACGGCGTCTCTCATAATCATATGGTGGTTTTGGGACGGTAAAGGGCCACTCACCAGGTTCGACAATATTGAGCTGACAAGCGCAATGCGTAGACGAGGCATTCATGATCACGTCTGCCAAAATTTGCAACGCTACGCGCCGCGGAAATGGGTCAAATTTCAAGATGAAAGCTGCTCCCCCTTCCCTCTTCCCCCTTCCATCCCCCTTCCCTCTACACAGCCCTGCGGTCACGTTGGTCCTCTATGTAGACGACTCTGTTCTGACGTCAACAGTATATCACGTGACATGGCAAAAATTATTTTACACAACATGCGTATTTTATGTATTTGTTGCTTTAAGAGGTGAGTAAAACTTGAAATAAATAATGAGACGCAATAAAAAATTGTGCACGTTTTTCTTACATTTTTTTTCCCATGAAATGCTACGAGATGCGGGGCTAATGTGCCAGCGTTTCACATGCATTCGGGTTCCCACGGTCAGCGCACTGAGCAAACGACCGCCGTGGAACGCTCCTACGCGTTTGCGCACTCATTGTGCTCATCTACTCTACCGCGTCTAAGCCAGTGTTTCCAAACAATCCCCAAAAGCAGGCAGAAAACCACAAAATAACGCTGGTCAACAAAGCAACGCCACTCGCGTGCACGGGGCTGGGCTTGTTTGGGCACGTCATGCGAACGTCACCTTTTGGTCGGATGCCGGAGAGGGTGGGAAAGAGGTTTGGCTAGCGAAGGCTACGCGGAGAAGCGGCAAAGGTTTCGAACTCGCCTTCTCTCGCCCTTGTTTCGCGCCGCTTTAAAAAACCTGTTTTCTTCGCTCGCAATGAACCGATTCGAGAAATTTTTGTGGCAGAACGTTCCTCATCGAACACCCAACAACTTCCACTGTCTAACTGAAATTCGGTATGGGGCCTGGTGAGTGGCCCTTTAAACCTCCCATATCTACCAATTGTCTTCATCAATCTCGGCAATGAGTATTTGAGTCGCTGTAATTACACAACCATGCCCTCACAACTGCTAAAGATCATTCGTTCTTTTGAAAAGTCGCCTTAGTGAAAGTATTAAAAGTTTGAGCACAATTTGTAAGCGCAAAAACGTGGGTCGCCTTCCTATGCTGTGTATACAATGCGACCTTGTTATGCTCTAGTAAAAGTGAAAAATCAAACACCAAATATTACGGAACCAGTGCATGTTTATTTGAGGAAAAGCATGATCATTTCTGATATGGCCAGCTCGACTGCTAACTTAAGAATGTGCATCCTTCTTGCGCACTGTGAAGCATTCGTGTTAAATACCAATTCTTCAAGTTGGTTCGCGTGCACTGTTAAAACATTGTCACTGCTCTCGTCGCCATTTCCTTGTCACAACAAATGATATGGATATTATTGGTCAAGAGCTAAGCTCACAATCATGCTTCGACATCGCACTGCACGTAGTGTTCCTAGCGTTAGTGAAGCATGCATGGGTAATCACTGGCGACTTCATCCCACCCACAGGGCACTCGCCTCGCGTGTTTCACTGTTGTAGCATTTCTTTCGTGCTGCTTTTAGAGTTAAGCTTGAATGTTCAACCACCAATCAAAAGGCTAGAAAACAGAAGTGTAAAAAGCGCACAGGTAAAGCTGCCCGATGAAAACGATGCAATAGGGCAAAGCCTGCCGTGGAAAACAAGCACCAGGCGATGAAGATGGCAAGAGAGTGATCACACATTTAAAAAGGATGGGCAGATACAGAAACATTTGGGCATTCTGATGATGATTATATTGACTGCCAAGAAGCTGGGCAGTATCTTCACAACCGTGAGTAACTTTTTAAAATTGCTATTCATTATTTTAAGGTTTTTAAAGGGGATAAAAGGGGGATAAAACATATTTAAGAGAATTAAAATATGAATCATTGTTCTGAAACATTCCGCAATCTGATATTCATAGTAGTGAAATATTTCTACATTAAGCCAACAAACATTTGGAGAGAAATTTTCAAAAATGTTATTAAACTTAAAAAACCATGATTCTGAGGTTCCCTATAACGAGATTTGACTGTGTGTTGAAGTCACTGACAATATTATTGACAATGTGGCACGTACCCTCCCGCGGTGGTCTAGTGGCTAAGGTACTCAACTGCTGGCCTGCAGGGCGCGGGATCGATGGCCTGCAGGGCGCGGGGCGCGGTGGGTGCATTTTCGATGAAGGCGAATATGCTTTAGAGCTGTGTGCTCAGATTTGGGTGCACGTTAAAGAACCCCAGGTGGTCGAAATTTACAGAATCCTCCACCTCTCATAATCATATGGTGGTTTTCAGCCGTTAAACCCCATATATAAATCAAATCATAAACAGTGCAGCCCGTATATTCTTTGCTATTAAAATGTGCTTAAAGCCTCCTTACTAGGCTGGTGCGAATGTTCGAATGCTTTGAATCTTCGAAAGAACAGCACAATTTCGAATTCGCTCGAAGTCGAATGGAAATCATTGGAAACTTCAAATTGTTCGAGACGAACAAAAAGGTGCCTACTAATCCACATGTAACACCTTGTAAAGATGGTTTGACTGCAGTAGAGGGATGCTAAACCATGAAAGCACCTATCAAAGTGTATATATTAGTTTTCATGCATCTTTCTGTAAAAATGGTTTCACTGCAGTGAAGTAATGCTAGCCATGAAATCACATATCCAAGAAAAATCCACGCTGCACCAGAGCTCCACTTTAAGGTTAAATGTAAATATTACCCTCACATTGATTAATTTTCTTTTTTCAGTTTGAAAGCTTCTTACACAGACTTGGATACTCTAAGTATAGCAAATCTTAAAATGCAAAATATTTTACAGGCTATCACTTGCATTCTACAAAATGTCCAATCCTGATACTGTTCTCAGTTGTTTCCACTTTCTTTGATGCAAAATATGACATTTGTACAGGCCTTCTTTCAATTTTTCAAAAATATTGCACAGGTTAGTTTGGTCACGACAAATATGCCCATTTTTCTTTACAATATGTAATATTTACAATATTACAATTTGCTTCTAAATTATTCGAGCAAAATCACTTTTCCTTTCTGACCTAAAATTCTCTATTTGCTCAAGCCACGCACATGAAATAAAGCATTCACCTTGCGTATCACAATGCTGCATACGTACCCCGTCAGGAAAGTCCAGGTTGATCTTGAAACAAGGCACCCGCTTGACTTTCCTGGGAACACTGCTGTCCTTGGCATCCTTGCGCTTGCCTGCCTGCAGAAAGAAGCTGCCTCATCGTCTGGAGCAGAGAAGTTCAGCCGTGACTTTTCACTATAGTGCCTAAAATATACTGGCTAGTGTGCCGTTCGCCAGCTCTTTACAATGAAGGAGGGTGGCACTGATTTGATTGAATGCCTGCGGTGGGTGCATTCTTAGGTGCGTTCGGTTCACCTGCCCTAATCCGAATCGGTTCGCAACAGCGCACTAGAAGTTCAGAAATTGTGAAGTGAGAGTTCAGTGGTGCAGGCATAGTTCGACAGCTGAAATGAATACCGATGTGCAGACAAGCTGCAGGTTTTATTTCTGTTCACTTAATTTACACTGTTCAACTAACACTGACCGAGGACAGACCGCACATGCGGACATTTTATGAGGCACAACCATCTCAGCGAAGCACCATCAGCGTAAGAGGTGCATAAAAATCGTGAACCACCGCTGCATTTTCTCTGCACCTTTTCAAACAAATGGCAGAGTTCAGAGGTCATCAATGCTGTACCGCTGAAACAAACGGCAAGGTGCAGCACCTCGTGAACTGGTTTACGTGGTGCAAGCGAATTGATCCATTTGGCTAACTAGGCCTTTCGTTTTGATGTGTCGAGTGCTTAAAGTATGGTTAAAGAGTGAACAGTGCAACTGGACGCTGGCAGGAAAGAATGCTAACACACACACACACCTTTGTATGTGTGTGAGCATGTTCCGCTTCGTCTGCGTCCAGCTTTGCTGTTCAAACACGGCATGATCAACCAACTAGCCGACCAATAGACCGTGGATTGATTCTGCACATGTTTCCACAGCTGATCGTGAGTGCTGTGGTAGCGACGTTTGATAATGGCAACTTGCGGCCCCTCCCGAACGCTTGACCTGGCCACAAAAGTCGATAATCTGGAAAGAAGTTAACAAGGGAGGCACCGCCAAGCAAGAGATAGCACGAAAAGTATGGTGTTAAACCCAACTCGCTGTCGAATTTCATCAAGTGCAAACGGGTGAACTCAACGACGGTAGTTTTGAGGCCATTCAAAACGTCAGTTTTGAAAAATTTGTTGCCGTGGACAGAAACGTCAATACATGCGGTCCACTAACCAACAAAAAATTGTGCAGATGGTTCAGCTGGTCAACGATGACGTCAACATAGAAATGAACCACTACCGAGGACCACGGATGTTGCTACAGGTCTTGCTCTTGCACTGCGGTTTTAATTTTTTGTTAAAGAAGACAATGTTGAAGAAGTATTTCAAAACGTGTAGTGCTCGTAAAACTTGCTAGCCGCAGCCAGGTTCAGCAAAAGAAGATATTAGACTATTTTCTTAAAAAACTGTCAGAGTTGAAGTAATAAAAGTGCAGTTTTTTGTGCATTTGGCTTGGAAGTTGGTTCACTTGAAATTTTTGTGATTCCCGTGAACTTTATATTAACGGAAGTTGACTGTACAATCGTTATAAAAAAATATGCGTTGAAATAAATGCATGTTTAGTTTGCAGCCGTGAAAATTAAGAGCATGGAGTGGCGTTAAATAGAAATGCAAGAAAAAAAATCCTGCTTTGATCCAGTCAGCATTCTCACCGTGAACGATTACTGTGAACGATTTCGAGATATCGCTTATTCAACATCTAAGGCTTGACTAATAAGTAATTCCTTCTATGATGAGCTAACATTTACTGAATCAAATTTACATTCAGTAGTTGAGTGGGGAAATCACTGCTAGACTCACTTAAGGCAAAAAAACGTTAGCTGATCTCATCACCAATGAGATCTGGTTTCGAGAGTCCCCTAAAGGGGTAGTAATGCAACCACACCGCCTGTGTCAGTCAGTATTGCGAGCACAAGTGAGAATCGGTCGAAGTACCAAACAAAAAATGAGCTGGTGCACCGCTACAGGAAAGCATTAAAAAAACAACTAAAATAAACAGGCAGACTGACTCAAGAAAAATTTAACACACTTCCACAGTGCATGCCAAAGCATAAAAAAGACCGACAAAGAAATAAATGTGTTTCACACAAACAGAAAATGATGTACATGTAAGTCTTTCACCCTCAAATAGTGAACTTTGTTTGAACTTTGTAATGTTTGACCATCAATTTTTAGCTGTAGATAGCTGTACCTATACCCTATGTACTCGCGTAATCAACCCACTCGTATAATAAATGCACCCCCACTTTCAGTCCTGAAATTTTGAATTTTTATTATCCCGCATAATAAACAAACCCCGTATATTCATCCCCTGTAGTCCCACAAACCGACACCTGGTGCCTCCTTGCTCTTTAGATCTTTTTCGTATTTAAAAGATTATTATTATTATTACTATGCTAAACCCTTCGCGCACGTACACTCAGTCCACCCCCTGCCCTTTTGCCCACTGCCACGCGCCGTGTAGTTTTTCTCTCTATCTGCGCGTGGCACATTCCCTCTCTTCTTTATTCATCCGTGCACCACAGTGAGGTTCACAAACGATTGCGCTAGCACACACGGAGTAAAGGTTACGAAACTAAAAGGCCCAACCACACGTACATGATTTCCGAGCGAAGATTTGCTTTTGTGAAAGGCCATTTGTCGCAAGTTTTTGGAAAATAAGAAAAAAAATCACTTGTGGCCCGGATAAGAGCGTGACGATTTCCCCAATATAGAAGCACCCTCGATTCTCACTTCTGTTGCAATTCGCTCTTAATGCTTATCTGCGCATGCTTGAAAGAATGCAAGAAATAGGCTACTTTTTCTACAGTAACTCCTGCAGACAACGATGCGGCGGCTATATTTTGCGTTAATCTTGTTATCAACGAACTTGTTTACAGTGCAACACCAGAAACACAGGACAGGGAAGGAGCAAAAGGAGAAAGAAAAGACAGCACTGACATTGATGCGGACAGTGCCATCTTTTTTTTCTCCTTTTGCTCCTTTCCTATCCTGTGTTTCAGGTGTTGCACCGTAAAGAAGTTAACGATGGATCCCAACCAACTGGCCCAACTTACTGTCTTATTGTAATCAATGGTTTGTTTTGATACTTTGGTGGTTGCATGGTGCAATGTCGTCGTTGCGGTTGTCGTGCGAGTTTGCCATGGAGGTGGCCAAGTGCGTTGCAGCGCACGCTTCAAGCTGTGCCTCGAGACCCCAGCAGATACCTTTATTGCGGTTAAACGATTGCGGGAAGAAAAAAAGACGTGAAACGCATTAATGGAGTGGGCGGGCAGTGCGGGGAAAGTTTGCAGAAGATAGCGCCTCAACTACTAAAGATGAGTCAAGTGCAACAAAGAAGCTGCTTCCAAACAGTGTACACATATGTCCATTGTGAAAGACTACACGCCTTAACATCTTTTCGCCATTTTTGCATTTTTTTGCTCATCCCAAAAAAGTTTTCACAAAATGCCCCACATAATAAGCGGACCCCCTGTTTTGCTTCAATTCTTGGGGTAAAAAAGTGCATTCATTATGCGAGTATCTACGGCATATTTTGCTGTAAGTTTAAATAGAATGCCAGTTGTTAGACAGCAGTGTCTTAGTGTTTCTTTCCTTTGTTGCAGTGTTTAGGTTTTGCCACAACCACTCGGCATGCAAAATTGCCGACTAGCCCAGACGTGAACCATTGTAACTGACTGTATTGTTTTCTTGATAGGCATATGGTGAAGCTGTTCAAAACTCCCACATACCAACTTCCAGCTCCATACCCTTGTGTTGTGCTCATGATTTCGTTTCACTAGTGCTATACCCATCTCACAAAGATATGCTGCACAGGTCGATGAAGCTAGTTGTGAACAGAGCGTGACCTCAGAAATTGAAGCAGCTAGGTCTTGTCAAAACATGGTCTTCAAAATATGAGATGAAGCTTAACTGCACAGTGGGATGCCTAGCTGCATAATGATGAGGAGTAAGTGTGGCTGTATGCCAGTGCTTGCACGCAGAGACAAGAAATCTCAACACGGCCGAATGTGTTGATGAGAGAACAATATTTCAGTGAGCGAGCCAAGAAAAGCTGATTGGTTTGACATTGCGGGCGTGATCAGAAGCCAAGTCAGCGAATGGGGTAGTGTGCTGCCCGTAATCATGGAGATTTTTATACTTTGGTCTCCTTTCATGAACACCACTGTTCCACTGGTTTCATGGCAATGTGAATGAGTCATATGCAAAATGACAGCAAAATACAATTGCAATATAACAGAACACAACAGCACAAAAGCTATCATGATAGCTGCCAAGGCAAATGACACCAATGTCAAAGCCACCATCCCCCCTTTTCTGCTGTTGCTGCTTTCACGAAATTTAATTGTATGCATGGCCCAACAGCAATTATGTGGGCCTCAATAATGTCTTTTTTTACATGATTAAAACTGTGCAATGTAGTGCCAGACTTTGCAATAAGAGATATAATGAATAATTAATTACACATTTTTATTTTCATTCTAATGAGATGCGAGTGCGTTGGTGTAAGTCATACATACCCCTTGCATGACTTTTCTCCCCTTCTTTCCGACCGTTTTTTTGTCGATCACCTGTGAAAACAAAACGTCATGTAAACCATCCCACTGGAAACTCCAATCACTGCACTACCTGGTCTTCTGAGATCTGTCCCACATAGGGCCCACAGGTGTTCAGATGCTGCAGGTATTCGGAGGCAGTGGCAGCATGATGGCTGCAACCTGGCTGGCGGCAGTCAAAGTGCTCGAACTGGTTTTCAACCTGTTTCAAGGCAGCCACCACCTCTGGTACAGTCAGTGGCCGGTCATCATTTATGCGTGCCTTAATAAAGAAAAAAGAAAGAGATAAATTTAAGTAAAAGTTCCATGTTGCAAAAAGACAGGTGGCACTGTCGATTCCAAGGCCTGTTGGCTTTAAGTTTTTATGCAATATCATGGGCTGACTTTCATTTCTTTGGCTAAGCTTTCACACTGCTGCACAACTTTTTGCCATGTTGTTTCAAGTGTTATTTTTGTAAGCACTGCACATATTTTCAGCATTCTTATACACTGCTTTTGCAAGTTACTTCAGCAACAAGTATTTGCACTTTCCATGAATGACCTCAAGGCTTGGGAAAACTGACAGTGTGCAATTGTTATTGACTAAAGGCACCCCCCCCCCCCCCCACTAACAACTGAAATAAACTCTGAGTGTTCAATCAGTAAACAACTGAAAAACTTCTGAGTGTTCAATCAGTCAAAGCAATCAAAAGGAGGAATTTTATAGCAATATAATATAAAAAATGCATACAGAAATGTTTGGACCCATAGCCTAAGCGGCTAGTGAAGGGTCCAACACAGAAGGATTTTAATAAAAAATAGAATAATAGCAGTCTTCCAGAAAAAAATTAAACAATTGTGAAAGCATCATAATTGAGTGATATAGTGATATACAAAAAACAAACAAAAAAAAACAACAACGATCACTTAATACAGCAAACACACATGAGAATAATTATAAGAATGCCTAAAATCTCAAGAAAATGTCTGATTAGCAATAGAGTATCATTTGCAGGCAATGTAAAAACTTCTAGTGCATTTTATTTACAGAGGCAAATTGTTCCAAAGCTTAGCACCAGAAAATTGTATCAGTCTTTCACCATATACATTTGAACATAAAGGAAGGTTAACATTACCTATGCTAGGGTGTCGCGTATTTAGCAACGGAAACCTATAAATGGTGCGGGGAAGAGGTGTGTTTGTGTTTATTATTTTATTTACTAAGCAGGAAATCTTGTACCTGCGTACGTTTGTAAATAGCAGTATACGAAATCTCTGAAATAGAATACTCAAAAGATAACGCCATGGTGACAAAGTAATCAGACGCATAACTCGTTTTTGTAATCGGATTAGGGGAGTAAGGTATGGCATATACGTTTGGCCCCACGATTCACAACAATAGCTGAGGTGGCAATGAAATAGGATGAAATATAATGTCCGCATCATACTCAAGTCAAAGTATTGACGTGCTTGTATCAGAGTGTAGCAATTGAAAGACAACTTTTTGCAAACAGTGTTAGTATAAATACCTAAATATTTAATAGTTGGAACACATTCAATTGATTGATTGTTTAGTGATACGTCAATCAAAAGGTGATTGAGACTTTTCATTCTTGACTGAAAATTAATATATTTTCTTTGATCTGTATTTAGTAGCAATTGGTTCTCATGGAACCACATTGAAATAAAAAGTAGCTCATTGGACAAAACATGTCGTAAGGCTTCAAGTGAATTACCTATGAATAAAATTGCAGTATCATCAGTATACATTAATGCTTCAGACGACTGTAGTAGTCGCGGGAAGTCATTGACATACAAGGCAAATAAAATGGGACCCAATGCGGATCCTTGTGGCACACCACAGGTGTCAGTCCTTGGTTCGGATAGATAACAGTGAATTAGTACTTTTTGCTTTCGTGATGTAAGCTAACTGGAAAAAAAGACATGAGCATCATCAATATTACAATAACAATTTAGTTTTTCCAAAAGTGCCGAATGGCAAATAGTATGGAACGCCTTTTTTATGTCGATAAAAATTCCAATAACAATATTTTGTTGTTGAGTGCGGAGTTGATGATTTGAGATAAAGTAAGCCCAGCAGTTGATGTGAATTTTCCTGCAACAAAACCGTGATGTTGCGGGCAAATTATGTTATTCTTGCAAAGGAAGTCTTTCAGCTGTTGCGCGATTAACTTTTCAAAGATGTTTACAACGCTTAACACGGATATTGATCTGTAGCTTCCGGGCATATTATGGTTTCCAGCTTTGTATATTGGTACAACTTTGACCATTTTTAGAGCATCTGGATAGGAATTGGCATTTATTGAATGGTTAAGGAAGTGACAAAGGGGAGCACTCAAAAAATCTGAATTGTCTTTCAGTACCCTAGCTTGTATATCATACATTCCTTCGGCTTTGTTCACCTGTAGGTTTTACATAGCAGACATCACCTTCTCCTCTGTTATGGCCTGAAAACTAAAATTGTTTTCATTTTTTTCAACGCAGGTGGTGGGTCGTGCAGCACTAAATTGTTTCGTAACTTTTTTGCCAACTGTGGCAAAGTAATCATTGAAATCATTTGTAAGGCTAGTTGTTAGATTGTCAGGAAGAATTTTCTGTTTGTTTTCAAGCCCTGTCACTTCCCTGATTGTTTCCGATGTTTGCTTTGTATCGCAGCGTTTCATGAGGCCTGTATAATATGCCTTCTTGGATTTATCCAGTAGCCCAGCTGACTGATTTCTGAAGTATTTAAACTGAGCCTTGTAGTATTCAATTGTTTTGTTTGATTTTAGTTTATTATAATGGTAATATTTTTTCTTTAGTAAAGCTAAAATAGGATCTTTCGTCTAAGGACACAAGGCGTGGTCATATTCCGTCGTGCGCACATATAAGATGACTGCCTTATTGCATTCGTGATACTGCAAATGATAATATTACATTCAACTTGCACATCATCGTTGTACAGTGTTTCGAACAAAGTGTGTTGCAGGAGGGTGCATAGTTTTGAATAATTTACGCGTGTGATATCTTGGGACTAATTTCTGGGCAACACGAGTAGAATGTAAGTACGCTTGCAGTACGAAAAGAAAAGTTGGGTGGTGATCAGCAATTGCATACCCATAAACACCAGCTTTCTATGTCAGCATCTAGACTGCACAGCATGTGATCAATAAATGTGGGAGAATGCTCCGACAAACGTGTTTCTTTGGATATAACATTTTTAAGATTAAAAGACTGTAAAAGTAACAAGTAGTCATGACGTTGGTCTTTAAGTAGACCTATATTGGAATCACCACAGCTTATTATTTGTGCATGCAAGGTTACACAGTGAATTAGTGTAGTTTCCATGACACATATGAAGTCATCTACGTTCGAACCTGGGGGGCGATGAACTTCACCAGCTACGACAACATCCAACTGTTGCAAATAGCGTTTCAGCCATTTTTTGAGAGCATGAAATGTCATTTAAACGCTGGAAACTAAGTTAATTCCTGATAAACAAGGCTACTCCACCACCTTATGCCACGTGCGGTCTTGGCTGTGAAAGCATTGCATATCCAGGTATATTTACTTACTCATCTTCCTTAAGCCATGTTTCCATTATTGCCATGACATCGTATTGAAACGAATGTTGTGATAAGTAGATTAGTAGCTGGTTTTTTGATACGGTTCACATATACATTTAATAGTATGGAAAGAAAAGTGTCCAAGGATGTAAGCTCATTTCCAACACTTATTTCTAGCAATGCACAAACCAGCTGGCATGGAGTTTATGGTGAAAAAGATAGTCTCAGCAATGCTGTTCAACTTGTTATGGTCCAAGAGCAAACTCAAAATATAAGTTCCCATTTGCTTCTTTCGAAATATTAGCCACAAGATGGAACAATAAGCTGTATACAGTGCTACATCACTTGGTTCCTGGGAACAATAGTATACTGACTAGCAGCGCTTTTCATGTTCGAGAAGCAGTACAAACTTTTTTGAAATTGCACCTAAGTACTCTAATAGCATTGCCCCAGAATATTGCTTGGGAAGAAGTAAGACATCGAAACAACTTCGCAAAAAGACAAGCCGATCTAAATAACAAGCATGCTGACAGTACAAGACCTTTTAAGGGTCTTTTTTCTTTCTTGCAAAATGCGTACCATAATTTTTTTATTGCTAAATATTCTTTAGACGAATCTATTTTTAAAAAAATATCACATATCTTTTGAAGTGACCATGAAGTGAAAATATTACCATTTGTTTTGTGAGATACACATAGTTTATTCATGAGGAATAGCAAAGTAAATCTTCAATGACCCTGAATGAAAACCTATACGACTATTAAAAATTTCTTCTCTAAAATAACCGTCCACATAGTTGACAGGCAACCAATGTGCACGAAGTGGCTTTGCCTAGAAACATGACGGGGGGGAAGAGAGAGAGTGAAAAGCCTCTTTTCATCCAGTCAGCATTATCTCACTGTGCACAGTTTTGAGATGTTGTTCACTCTTCGCTGACTTGTCAACATTTGAGCCTTGACACGTAAATAACTTCTCGTATAAGATGAAAAAAATGTGCAAACAGGAGTAGCGCTGAGCTGGTGTTTCCACAAGCAAATTAGTCTTCCTCAAGGCTAGAACAGAACTGTTCTGTTCTGCCTTGAGAAAGACAAGTCGGCTGGACACAACTTCTGTTTGCAAATTTTTCATCACAAGCTACCATCTTCCCCTTCCTACCATTTTATAGACTTCCCGTGTGTGAATCAGATTCTGATTTTGCAGTTGAACAGCAATTCAGAAGAATCATCGCTAGACTCAGACGCGGTATAAAAACCGGTGCGCACTTTCATTAAGAAAAATCTGCATTTGTGAGCACGTTTGGAAAGGTAAAAACAAGTCCGAAACTTATATTTGATCCTTTGTCTTGAAAAAGGGTTTATTGGCGACTGTTGCGACGGTGGTCCTACGATGAAACACGATCGGACAAGAGCAACGGTCGAGCAGATGCCGGCGATGATCAGCACGAGCCGAGCGAGCGAAGCCAAGCACCCAGTACCCAAGCGGTGGCGATGTTGTTTGCCAACGATGCGTTTTCTTCTTCACAATTTGCCCCCGCCGAAAAAGAGCCATCCTGGCGACCTAAGAGTCTGGAGGCAGAGGGCTATGATATGGCTTAAGGCGGGCGATGTGGACGATGTCACGTCCACGCCGGCGCATGTCGTCAGATGGGGAAAGTGGCTCGATGAGAAAATTCACCGGCGAGGTTTGCTCCAAAACGCGGTATGGGCCCTCGTACTTT